CCGTTCATGTCTTAAGTCTGTTCAGTGTCCTATTCAATTCAATGTCTTGTAACCAGTGTAGTTACTAGTTACCACTGAGTTCGGTTCCTTGGGCTCAGGCTCGCCATCCAGTACTGGAGAGGTGTCGATCCTCAGCTGCTGCAGAGTAGCTCCGTTTGAATCCAACTAAGACAAAAAACCTGACCTATGGAAAGGCCAGAACACCATAGTTTGATTTCACTATAAACTAATTGTATATAGCCAAAAGCTACTATCGAGCACTTCAAGTTAGTTTCTCAAGTTGTACAACATTAACCTTCACATATTCAGCATTAACAATTACCATTTGTAACCATGCATAGTAAATACACATCAAATGGAAGTAAAATAGCTCAGAAGTACATTGTAAAGTCTCGCTTATCTCATTCCTTTCAAGTGTTACCAAGCGCTAGGAGAATCTGATGAAACTCCATGCAAAGTGCACTTTTGTACTCTCATTACAGTAGAAACATCAATTATAACCTTATTAGCACCATAGAACATTAACAAATAACTGTACTAACATAACAGCTTAAAACCTTCACAAATCTTGAACAAATCTTCAAGTAACATTCAGGTTACACTAACAGGTAGCTACTGCTAATTAGCTCGCGGCTAGCGGGATGTAGCATCCAAGCTAATGCCTTTCATTCACACACACATATGACTCACCAATGCGGGGTAACATGTGCTAGCAAAACACAAAGGTGTGGGTTCCCAGGTCCCGGCCGGCCCACAACCCTCCTTCAGCTCAAAATCTCTATTCCACAATATTCCCGTTTCACAAGTTCTCCAAATTTCATATGTTGCAACCATGAGACTCCCAAGTGTATCACACGATGTCGAGCTAAAACAGGATGTGCGCTCCCAGGGGAGGGACAACCACCCTACTGGCTGATGAGAGAGCCCACCAACTCAGCTGGTTGGCTGCTCGCACCGTCACAAACCACTTTTGCAGTTGCACTGGTTTCCTCACCACCACCCAACACCATTCAACAATCCCTTGATAAACCAATTTTTAACCTATATTTATTAGTCCTTTAATTACTCTGCAAAGTTAATAACTGTATAGTTATTCCAGGTTTGACTGGTGTTTCAGCACTGGGTTACACAGGCACTGAGATTCAAACCTTCAACCTTCTGGTTGGGAGGCAGCTGCTCTACCCACCGCACTGTCGCCTCCTGCAAACATACTGCTTTCACAGTAATGGACTGGACAGACAGACAACCCAAAAACATAATGCCTCCGGCCATGGCTATCGAAGGCACAGAGGCATACAGTATAAACACTGTTGAAACTGTGACATTTTGTCTTTTTATTGTGAACGGCTGCAGATTGTTTATGTCCACCATAGTTTTATTTAGTGTAAACACTGAC